CAACCACCTATCCAATCCCCTGAACGATTGATGAATATTGTTGTACTCAATGCCAGCTACATAATGGTATAAGTTATGTCTCTATCTGATTAGTATTGAAAGAGTTGTCTTTGATTCTCTGGGCCATTTTTTACTATTTGTACTCTGGCGATACCAATGTTTAATGGCAGATTCCTCCACAACCACTAATCCAATCCCATGAACGATTGATGAATATTGTTGTACTCAATGCCAGCTACATAATGGTATAAAGTATGTCTCTATCCAACCAGTATTGGTTGAGTTGGCATTCATTCTCCTGGTTTACTACTCTCTGACTACTATCTTTCATTGGTGGTTGCCATATACCAAGAGTGGTTGCCACCCCCATATCTGGTTGCCACATACTATTTACCCACCTCTCTTCTCCCTTTCCTCGCTTTTTCCGCCCTTTCCTCTATTTTCCCCAACCATTCTTCTTCGCTTACTTCTTCTACTCTCGCTTGCTTTCTCTACCTACAACCACTACTCTACCCTCTCCTTATACCAATACCAGCTATGGGAAAAGGTTTTATTTCTTTATAATCTGTTTTTATTTATTTCTACCATCTTAATTTTTTCTTTCTGCATTTAGCAATACATACAAGTGTCCACTTACTACATGTGGTGGTAGCTTGCAGTATTAGCTTTATCCTTTAAGAATTAATTTTGTTTGGCTAGTTTTACATATTCTATAAACCCTTTTTCCACTATTCTATAAACTAGAATTTTGCTTATTTTATTGTAATATTTTTAGTTCAAAAAAATAAGCATACTGAATTTCTTCAGAGTGTTAGAGCCTGGGCAAATACCAACTCGGACTTTTTGCAACTTCTTCCACAAAGCTATAGACCAGCATCTCACCTACAACTCTTTACCATCTTGCAAACCAAATTTCCTTCCTGCAGTTCTGATCCTATGAAGTTATTCTCTCAGCTTCTTTTCCTTGCCACCACTACTTGGAACCATAGCCCTTATTGCACCACTTTTGCTCCTCTGCTCCATTCTATTCAAGAATTTCAAGCCAACAGAAACCAGCATAGACAGAAGCGAAACTCTTTAGCCTACAACCTTTACCTTAGCCTATCTCCCAAAGTTAGAGACCTACAATTTTTATCCAAGATTTCTTCCCATACTCTTTCCTCACTACTCCCCTCTGATATATATCCTCCTCCCAACTACTGGATCTATGAATCTGAGGAAATCCGAGCACTCTGGGAGTACCACCTCAAGCAGGGAAAACAGCCTGATGCTAGGCTAAAAAGACACCCTCTTCAGCTTTTGGATGAAAGCAAACTGAAACTTGATATTGCTGGAGATGAAAGTGCAATTATTCAGGATAAGGCTACAGGCGAGATAGTTGCCATGGTTTATAGAAACTTCATGCCTAGTCAATACCATTCTATTCTTGAATAGATTAATGCAACTATTCTGGCAAGTATTGGGAGAAAGAAAAGTGCACGAGTAAGCCCAACTCTTAGTTAAAGTTTCTCTACAAGCAATTGACATTTTACTAATTTTAAATGTTTACTATAGTTGGAAGATCCAGGAAAAATAGTTCAGACTGGCTATTCTGCAGGTTCCCGAAGCCATCCTCAGTTTGATTGGGCAAAAAATCTCCTATCCAAAACATATAGCACCCAGGAGCAACAAGAAATCGGTTATCTTGAGAGTAGTATATTTGCTCTATTTTGGAATATGGCTAGAAAGCTTATCCATGGTGATATTAGCAAGGATATTGAAGAGTTTCTGGAGACTGGAATTGCGAGAATGGACAACAAAGGGAAACAAAAAGCCAACAACACTTATACTATCCAGTATAA